TGTTATGTCAATTGGTCTTAATTTTTTTAAATCAACCACCAAGCTCGTTTAGTGTAATACAATCCATCTAATATATTAATAGATTTTGCAAACTCTCCTGGAGTCAATCCTTTTTGAATAGCCATCAATTGTTTTATTATTATTATTTGCGATAATGAAATTTAAAAGTTCTTATAATACGAGTACATACCCAAATAAAGAGGCTGAATTTGAAAAATGTGTAAATCATATGTAAACGGCATTTCCACGTAAATGCTTGCAACTAATGGCAAATATAAGCAACATAAGGTTTAAGTTTGTTCATAAAATTTTTTGTTTCTGCGATGGTTTGTAACTACGTTATGCTATCATAAAGTTATGTCAAACTAATGGTTTGTATTGTAGTACTTTTCCCTTCAACAAGCGAAAAAACTGTTTCTAAAAACAACCTAGCTACGTTAGTATGTTATTAAAATTACTTTCAAACATACACGAAATTATTCCAAGGATTGCATACATTTAGGATGAAATGTTTATTCTTTGAAATGAAGTAAAAACAAATTTAAAGAGCGGCTAACATACGTAATAATTAAGAATTTAATTGCGTGAGTAAAGAAAAATAATTATGTTTTTTAATAGCATGAAATTTGCGGTTACCATTATATATACCTGGCGCCTTATATTTGTGAAATCGCGAAAAAGCTTGCGGTTTCCAATATAAGGTGCCAAAAATTCAGGTGGGAGGATTTCTTCTAATGAAATGAAGAATTTATTAGTGTCTAAAACTGTTAAAATTTTAGATTTTCACAACCTGGGATCCAGAAGAAAAACGACATCAAAAATTTCGAAAAAACGAATTTTAAATAACGGTATATTTAACGGCCATTTTTTTCAAAGTTCAAATATAGTATGCCGTGGTAGGAGATGCCGGCGACTATTTATTTCTGCAAAATTTCAAAAATGATTACGGTTTCACTGCAATAAATAGTTAAAAAATGTCCTTTTTAGGGTTTTAGAGTGGCGGAATTTTTAGAGGGGGGGGGGGGGGGGGGAGATAGGTAAAAATTTCTTCTACGGAAATAAGTTTCTAGTAAAGATAAACAAAATCATGTAATGTTTTTAAAAGCATGTAAGAGTTTGTTCCACATCGTGCTGAAATAAATAATATGCATTATTCAATATAAAACGAAAGTTTCTTTAAATCAGAAGTTTGTGTTGTGTGAACTACAGATTTGGTAAAGATTAAACTTTTTAGGAAAAATTAGAAAGAACGTCGGTAGTAATAATACTCATAAGTACAGTAATATTTTTAATAAACTTGTGTTATTGGATTTTGAATAATTTTAACAATGTTATTTTAGTTTGGTATAACTACATTGAAGAACTAGATTTTGCAGCTAAAATACAAAAATTTAAGTAGCGTTAGTTGTAAAAAATTCAAACAGTAACACACGTGGATCTAGTGTTCACATATAGATTACAGATGAAGATTCGATACTTTATATTAGCGAAAATAAGTATACGAGTACCACATATTTATTTGATTGAAAAAAGAACGCACCCGAATTAACTTTTTACCGACCGTAGTGTGTATACAATAGGTAGGTTATGTGATGGCAACAAATTTTGCATATCGAGTTTTTGGTAGGAATGTACTTCTCCATAGTAGTCGATTTTAACAGAAACAGAAAATTGGAACAACAAAGTAAAGGAATACCACAAATTAGCAAGACTTTGCATGGAGGAGAATTACTTCGAATTCAGAAACGAGATGTACAGAACAACATCGGGAGTATCGATGGGCAATCCACTTTCACCATTTATCGCAGAATTATTTATGTCCAAATTGGAAAAAAGAATGGAGGAGGATTCTCTGATGCCTAGAGTATGGATGCGGTATGTTGATGACGTCTTCGCGATAGTGGACAAGGAAGAACTGGAGAATATAAACAGATGCATCAACAAATTACATAGAAACATCGAATTTACATTCGAAATTGAGGAAAATGGAGTGTTACCTTTTTTGGACATATTGGTGAAAAGAAAATCTGAAAAAATTGGATTCAAGATATATAGGAAGAAAACAACAACACAAAGATGCATTCCACGGGACTCGTACCATTCAACGAAACATAAAATGGGGGCGTTCAACTCTATGATCCATAGAATGCTAACCACACCGATGGACAGACACGACTATAGATCAGAAGTAAACTTCATTTTGGACACGGCTGTGAAGAACGGTTATTCTACTGAACGTATTAACAAACTCATTGGGAAGAAAAAACGAAAAATTGAGCAGGAGAATATGAGCACATTGTTTAAACAGAACAGGATATTGGAAGAACAAAGAACAACATGGGCATCTTTAAGTTATGATCATCACTGTACAAACTTGATAAATAAACAACTAAGGAAACACAATATTCGGACATCGGAAACCATTAGTAAATATCAACTTGGGAGTTTGTTAAATTCGGCTAAGGATAAATTGAAGATACATGAAAGATGCGGTGTGTACAAAATCAATTGTAATAATTGCGATAAATTTTACATAGGACAAACGAAGAGACCCGTTACAACAAGACTTAAGGAACATTTAAGTGAAATAAAACGTGCAAGGAGAGTAGGATTTAACCGGATTTTCGATTCTATGGTTGCAAAACACATTTATGAAACGGACCACACAATCACGAAAGATAACTTAAAGGTAATAAAAGAGGTAAAAGGAAAACACAGGAGAGAAGTTCATGAAAGCATGCAGATATACAAATCAAACAAGGACTGCCTACTAGACGCGGACGAAGGTAACGCGGCTACTTGGCTCTTTAAATTAATTATTTGACCAGTTTTAAGGTGTAAAACAGGTATAAATTTAGTTTGTAAATAATAACAAAAAAAAAAAAAAAAATAATAATAATCAAATTCTAGTTTAAGTCAGGTAGATTATATTAAGTCAGGTATAATATTCCTAATTTTAATAGATTTCAATTTTTATTGTTTGTTGTCTTAATTAGAAGAAAATCAGCTTTGATAAAGTGCGTATGTAGCGCACGAAATATATTAGCGAAAAATAAAAGTATTTTATTCCGAATAAAAGGAAGTTTTCTTTTCACACCAATAAAAAAAAAAAAAAAAAAGTCGATTTTACATTTTTCACCATATCTACGGAACGCATTAATGGAATTTCTTGAAATTTGATATTTGAGTTCTGGTTGTTACCGAAATTAACTGGCGAGCATTTCAGGGAATTCGGGTAGCACAAAGCGAAATTCTACTTAGAGCCAATGTTAACAATATGCTATTCTACTATGTTAACAATAAGCTTACTAATGTCCTAAAAATTGGAAAGAAGTATTTAACAGACATTTTCATAATATTTTGTAACATTTTCAATTAACTAGACAATACACATTGCGGTCGGTTATGTGCTGACCACATCAGATTTTTTGTATTAATGTTGATTTCACTAATTTTAAGAAATTTAGATTTAATAGAACGTTAATTTTTAAGACAAAGAAAAGTATAAAAAATTATTATTGTCTTTACAAATATTTTTCTGTTGTTTTTTGCTGTTTTTTTTAAATCTTGTTGTTATAAACATTTTTAATAAAATTATGAAGAAAAATCTCTTTTATTGCAATTATATGATATTATTTTTATTCTTTCTTTCTATTAACACAGTGTTCGTTTTCACTCTGTATTCGGAAGAATGAAACGAATTTTCAGAAAAAATTTTCCTTACATCTTTTTATGTTATTTTTATACATTTTTATAACTTTATGTGTTATTACTATTGCCTTACAATCAAGCATTGAAAACGTAGATTTACTTATACACACTTATACTGCGACCATAAAGAATGACAAAGCAAAAGTTGCATATATATTTTTGTAAGCGTGCAAACTCATATACATTTTGTCTTTATATTTAGTACATTCACGTATTATTACAGCACGTAAAAAGGATAATAGGTCTTTACCTAAAATTATAAAATATTACTTATATAAGTATTTTCTTCCTTTTTTTAAGCCCTTTTCCAAAAATTTTTGAATAGTTTCACTCCGTTCTTCCGTCCGTGAACATGTTTACAAAAAAATTTCAGCTTTCTACACCATTGAAGATAGAAAGCTGAAATTTTATAGATACATAAATCTTTTCAAGAAACTTATTTCCGTAGAACAAAATATTCACCTATATCCCCCCCTTTAAAATTATACCATCCTAAAACCACAAAAAATTTTATTTTTTAACCATTTATTGCAGTGAAACCGTAAGCATTTCTCAAATTTTGGAAACGCAGAAATACGGTGGCAGCCTTTTTCTGCCACGGCATACTATACCAGAACCTTAGAAAAACAAAATGGAAGCTAAAATTTATCGTTATTTATTTAAATTCGGGTTTTTCCGAATTTTCGACGTTGTTTTTGTTTTATACCACAGGTTGTAAGAGCCTGAAATATTAACAGCTTTTAGATAATAATAAATAATTCATTTTGTTAGAAGAAAATTTTTTTCCACCTCCTCCTCCTCACAAGTTATCGCCTCTCGAAATTTGTAAAATGTGAATTTTTGGCACCTAATGTATCCGAAACCGCAGGCTTTTGCAAATTTCGTGATATTTAAAAAACATAATTATTTTTATTAACTCAGACAATTAACCCTTAACATCGAGCATTATGTTAACACATATTTAAATTTATTTGTGCTTTATTGCAAAGACTGCATAAATCGTTCATCCTAAGTATATGCAATCCTTAATAAAATAGTTTCGAATATGAATATAATTAATTTTAATAGTGTAGTAGGTATACCTAGATTGTTTTTAGAAGCAATATTTTCACTAGTTGAAGGGAAAAATGCTACAATACAAACGATTTGTATGACCCAACATTATGGTTATATTACATTTATATATGTAATATAACCATAATTTTTAGCTGAATAAAAATTTTTCAATAAGCAAATACATAAATGTATGTTTTATTATGAATTTTAGATATTTAGATAATATAACTCACCTGAAAGTATGGCTGTCCTCTGTCTACCCACCCAATCGCCATGTCTGCACCAGGTATATTACCATCATATGAAAATCCTAAACCAACATAACCTAATGCACGTACTTGTATTTCAAATGTTATATCCTGGGGTGTTACTGACCATAAAAGACGAAAATCTTCATTTAATTGAACATCATGATCCCAATGCATGGCATCAACACATAAAACAATTCGTTGGGATAAAAAAATTATTAATATTATTAAAAATATATTCCACATTTTTAATGGTGTTGTAACCGCTGATATTATTGTAGGACTTTTAATATATGCTCGACAACAATTTTTACTACTTTCATTACCATTATTATAAATATTATTTTTATCATAATATAAATTTGAATAATAACTATTATTATTTAACTCGAAATTTTCTAAAATTGATTTTCTTGAATTTCTTTGAATTTTATTGGTTCTTATTCTATTTATTAAATTATCTTCAGGATATTTTATCCCTAATAATCTGGATTCTAATTGCTCTTGAGCTGTTGTTTTAGCAGTAGAATCGTCGATTGTTGAAGATGATGATTTTATTCTTATTGTTGACGATAATATTGTTCTCGTTTTCGTTGAATCTTTTCTGGATTGATATTTAAAATTAAGTTTTGTTAACGAACACATTTTGTTTATTATTTTTATAATTGTTTCTTATTTAAAATTTTTTACTTTTATTTATTGGTTTTCATAAATATTTTCTCTGCAAAATAAAAAAAACACTGTAATTAGGTAATGCTTTTTCTGATGACGTTACGTATTATTAAAGTATTAGTTTAAACATATCGCGCAGCTTTTGTAAATTATGTGTACTGAGGAACGGATAAACTAATTGAATACCAGAAAAAGTTTCTATAGATATTTTTTGTATTGGTGTTCTCGTGTAAAAAAGTGAATTATTTTACGAGCCCTACGTCATCAACTTGAATGTATGCGAAACAAAAATATTATTTTCAAAATTTTTACTTTAATAAAAATGAAAAAAAATAAATAACCATTTCTCTTTAATGAAATTGAATTTAATTCAGATAGTAAATAAAAAAAAAAATAATTACGTTTTTTAATGCAAAATGTAGAGACTTTAGGTGAAAAAAATCGGCGGATACAATTTACGCTACAATATTCAACTCAATTTGCAGTTACAAGGTTGTTATGTGCATGCGATACCAAATTTTTTTTTCAAATTTACAATATCCTCGGTGCATTGATGATATTTGCATTAGCAATAATTTATTATTGTAAATGCGCATTTATTTTTTATATATAGAAAATTTATTATCGTTTCGAGACTGCTGACACGTATTTACTGTTGCGACATTACATGCTGAAAAAACAAAAAGAGGAAAATTTGTATATTAATAAAAAACATAATTATCTGATTATTAATATATTCTTGATTATGACTGAAATTATTTATATTTCGAATATCTGTACAATGTTCTTTAACATTTACTATATTCCATGTAACTATAAATTTTGAAGAGATGCCCCCGGTGGCCGAGTGACAATCGCTTGTAAACCGAAATAAATACCGAAGGGGTGTGGGTTTAAATCCCATACATTCCGCAAATTATAATAAGGGAAGATTTGGCTGAATAATCAAAAATATTCAGCTACCACAGTGGTGATATAGCTAAAAATAATTGAACATTAGTATAACATTGACACAAAAATATTACTTTAATATATGCAAATAATTAGTACATAACCTTACAAAAAAATAAAACAAATAATAATAAAATATATAATATAGAATTTAAATAAAATATAAAATATATAACTTCAAATATATAATATAGCATATAACATTAGACAACTGTCAGTGAAAAAAAAACTCACCGCTGACAGTACATCATAACCCAACAAACCATGAGCTCAAAACACAATGAAACCATGGGACAATGACGGTGTCATGCTTCAAAGACGGAAAGTAAAGGGAATTCACAACGCAGATAGCTTCGGTAGACTAATCACCTTCCATAGTGAATTTCAACCGATTAACAAACAAAATAAACAGAAACAGAGCCACGGATATCTGATCTGGCACAACCCCACAGTTGAATGTCATATAGTCATATTGGTTTAATGACTTGGCTATAAATCAATTTTTTATTATCAATTGCCAAATTTATTTATTTTCTAATTCTATGTGTTTCTTCTTTATATGCTCTTTCAACCTTAGCTTGACATCTAAAGTCATTTCTAGGTATTTTGCTGAGTTATGAATCGCTACGTTCGTTTCATTTAAGTTAATTTGTGGTGGATTCATTATTTTCCGATTGATGAAGTTTATGTGAACCGATTTTACTTTATTCAACTTCATTTTCCAATCTCTAGTCCACTGGCTTATTTTATTACTTGCCTCCTGTAATTTTTTTCTCGAGTCGTCAATGCTCGCTCCTACTGCCAATATTGAAGTATCGTCAGCAAAAGTGGCTACCGTAGCATTTTGTATTTGTGGCGAATCACTTGTGTAAAGCAGGTACAACATTGGGCTCAATATACTGCTTCGAGGCACACCTGCTTTGATTTCTCTTTCTCAGCGTCTTGTTTAATTCTAAATAATCTCTCAGCTATGTAATATTCCAAAATTACTACAAATGGCGATGGTAACATATGTCTTAACTTAAGTATAAGGCCTTTGTGCCATACCTTGTCGAATGCCTGTACTACGTCTAAAAATATAAAAAAGCAGATTTCCTCATTTTCCAAGCTTTTTTTTTTATAATATTCCTTATTCTATGGACCCGGTCTATTTTTTAATAGTTTCTTCTAAAACCATATTGATGGTTTGGTATTAGGACCCTATTTTCTATTATTTGCCTCAATCTCCTTACTAGCAGCTTCTCACAAAGCTTAGATATCATTGGTAACAGAGAAATGGGCCTGTAAAACTTTTTTCCGGGCTTGAACACCATAACTTTTCAAGCACATACCCAAAATCCATAGCTGCACTCATGATTTTCGTCAAATGTTCCAATACCTCGTCTGGTAGCTCTCTCAGTCCTTCAAGATCAAAACCTGGCGATTTTTTCAACTTAAGGGATCTTATCTCTTCCGCAATTTTTAATTGAGTAAGTGGAATTATGATGCCTGCTTCATTTGCGATAGATTCTACCAAACTTACATCTGATTCCATTTGGTGTGAATATTCTTTCTAAGTGATCAGCAAACAATTCGGCTTTCTCTATATTGCTCCTCGCCCAACTGCCATTTGCTTTCATCAGTGGCGGAGCGTGCTTAATCGGTCTCTTTTTGCTCTTTTCCGCCTTCCATAAGGAATAATTTGTTTCTTTCGTAGCTGACAAGCTCTTTATATAATTTTCGTATGTTGCCGACTTAAGTTCTTGGATTTTTCTTTTAATCCAAGAACTACTTTTAATCCTGGGAAAGTCTGTTTAAAACAGTTTTACCATCAGGGTGACGCGAACGTCGTCTTGTCCTTCTCTTTTCACCTTAGTTTATCAGTTATTTCTTTCGGATAGCTATTTTCTGTCGGTTTGTACTTTGACATTTTTGTATTGTTCCATGCAGCTTTTTGTATGATTTTAATAAATCCTTCTAACTCAAGATCTAATTGTTCTCTTGATTGTATATTAATATTTACGTCAATATTGTTTATTATTTCGTATTTAAAGCTCGCCCAATCTGTAGTGCTATTTGTCAAACTAGGTTTAAATAATGTTTTAGTTATTTTTTCACTTAGTTTTAATATGACAGCAGGGTGATCTAAATTAAAATCATAATTATCTTCAAGGCTTAGAAAGTTTTCTGATATTTTTTTGGTTATGAAAAAGTCAATAACATCAGGAATCTTGTAAGTGTCAGCAGGCCAAAGGAGTGCCAACTAGGAGTCAAGCTCTCTTCTTTCTTTAGAAGATTCTTTCTCTTAGAAGAGAGCTTGACTCCTTTTTCTTAGCTCTCTTCCTCTAGTTGTGGTATGTTTGGCATTACAGTCACCTTCTTTTAGATATCTGTGTCCATGTTTGAACAGGAGATCTTTAAAAGTATTTTTCTTAATGCTGCAATTTGGTGGACAGTATACAGCACTAACACTAAAGTCCTGTTTAGTCGATTTTATTTTAATCGAAATAAGCTGAATTTCAACTGTTATTACCTTGAATTTTTTATTATGTTCTCTACTTTCTTTTTTTAGTGTTGCACTACCTCCTCTTGACTGACTGGTAGAAAGCAAAAAAATGAGAATACAAAGGCCGAATTTGTATCAAAAATTGACGAGAAAATAAGGAGCCAGATAAATTCGAGTAAAGAAGATATACAAAGCATATTCAGACAAGTAGTAGAAGTGGTCTTAGGCGCTACCAGAAAAGAAAGAAAGGAATGGATCTCAGACACGTCATGGATAGAAGTTAGAGAAAGAAGAGAATTAAGAACAAGGCTCTTGGCGTCGAATAGTGTGGAGCTGATGATCCAATATAAAGAGAAAGCCAAAGAAGTAAAGAAAGCAGCAAGAAAAGATAAGAGAAACTGTTACAAGAAAATCGCCATAGAAGCACAAAAATCAGTGGAAGTAAGTAATATGCGCGCACTATATAACAACATACGAACGCTGTCAAATAAATCCAAGAATTATAACCAACCAACCAAGAACAGAGAGGGCCATTCATTGTCGTCCACACAGGAGCAGCTACTAAGATGACAGGAGCATTTCGAAGAAATAAACAGCCTCGAACAACAAATGCGAGAACAACATCAAGAAATCAATAATAGTAATGCAGTCGTAACATCAGAATAGACGTGAGTTCGAAATAATGTAGCCAATAATAAATAAGATAATAAAACTGAGAGCCGGAGTCAAGGTATGCCCCCTATCCCCACTCCTGTTCAACGTAGTACTGGACGAGGTTATAAGACGAGCAACAGTTACTGCCAGAGGGATAAAGTGGATGCTCATAAGTTGATCAGAAAGTCTAGAATATGAAGATGACATAGCTCTACTTGCCCCCACGCACCATGATATGCTAGAAAAGATATCAGACCTAGAACAAAGTGCCTCAAGAGTCGGTTTCTGGATAAACACACACAAAACAAAAAGCATGAGAATTAACGCCAGAAGCAATGCCCCCTAAATGTAAGAAACACAGAAATAGAAGATGTCTCGGAGTTCTGCTACCTTGGTAGTATAATTACTGCAGATGGAGATGCTGAAAGTGACATGGAGAATAGAATTACACTAGCAAAAATGGCTTGTCTGTAAACAACACCACATAGCTGGGAGTACAAAAATCAGAATATTCAACTGATACGTAATATTAGCGCTTCTATATGGAAGTGAGACCTGGCTAATAAAGAAATACTGCACAAACAAAATACAGGTCTTCATAAATAAATGCTTTTGATCAAACTGCAGAATATTCTGGCCGCGAAAAATCAAGAACTCGGTTCTTCTCGGGATTTAACGGGACAGGAACTCATAGATCTTCAAATCAAGAGGACGAAGTGGAAATGGATTATTCACGCGCTGAGAAGGGCAGAAAACAATATTAAGCGAAGGCTTTTAGAGTAAAAGTTGGCACGAAAAGTTGGCACACTAAAAGAAACATGGCAAAGTTCAATAAATAAAGAAATCGAGGAAAAAGACAAATCATGGCCTGAAATAAAACTTCGAGCTCGCAACAGGGTCAGGTGGAGGAGCTTTGTAGATGCCCTATGCTGTCAAAGGGAGTAGAAATGGAAAAAAAAACATAAATTTTGAAAATAGAAACTGTCCATTCGTCTGTCCGTGAACCCTCACAAAACTTTTACACCCTTGAAGATAAAAAGGACCCTTCCCTCTAAAAGCCTTGTTCTACAGCAGTGGTTGCCTCTTTTATCACGGCATACCATATTTGAACTTTAAACAAACAAAATCACCGTCAAAATTTATCTTTATCTGAAATCTGTTTTTTCTAAATTTTCAATATCACTTTTCTTCTAACTGCAAGGCTTAGGAGTCTAATGTATAGGAGTAAATAATTAATTTAGTTATCAGAAAATTTTTTCCAATTATACCCTCTCAAGTTTTCTTCTTTCGAAATTTGTAAAACTCGAATTTTCGGTATCTTGTATTTCCGAAACTGTAAGTTTTATGAAATTTCTATTACTGCAGAAAACTAACGGTTAATGCAATGCCATTAAAAAGTTAAATTATTTTTCGTAACTCACACAACTAAACTTTAAATTCGAGCATTATACAAACCTCTTTGAATTTTTTTTGTTGTTCAGAGATTGAATATATTGCTCATTTTTAAGGTTTGACATTTTCGAAATTTATTCGTACGAACCACTGGTTTCATTCGACTTTATTATCCTTTAAATGGAAGCATGTAATACTTACTACGTCATTATTACTATATAAATTGCTTATTAGCATATTACTAATTGAACACTATAAATGATTAAAAATAGGACGTTGAGTCTACTATGCAGTCAAGGCTATCATATATATACCGGCATGTTTGAGTGCATCAAAGGCGCCCGTTTTCGGTAACTATGACTTCGAAGAAAAAAACACTAATTCTTTTTGACTATTAAATCGATTTTCTTGTACTAATACACATATACTTTGAAAAATAAAATAATTTACGAAACAGCAATACATTGTATGCTGCAGCAGCTTGAAAAGTTAGCAAATAAAAAAACCTACCACAAGTCCCCGTATCGCAGGTGAAATCCTTAATTATAAAGAAACTCTATAATAAATAATATATAATGCTTTAATATATTAGTTATTCTTTTTTACGAAAGAAATTAATTAACTTATCTTTCTAGTTATTCAACTTTAAAAAAAAACTTTTATTTTTTCACCTTGGAAAGTTCACACAAAGGTATTTTTGTACTCTCCGTTGAGCATGGGTTGATTGGGATTCACTGTGTCAAAATTATGTGCATAAATATACTATTTCATGAAGAAAGGAAAATTAAAAATTACATTAGTGATAAGTCGTTAAAATGTAAAAAATTGCATTCATATACCAAAAGTAATCAATCAATAAGGAATAATTTGACATATACATGAACTTGATTTCTAGAAAGTTCTTGGAGTTCTGTATGTCCGTAACTGCGGTATATCGAGTACTTCTGGGAGATTATGACCAGAAGCGATTTGAGAAGATTATAGAGTTGCGCAAGAATTAGGTGAGAATCCTCACCGGCATCTTTATGGGACATTGCAAGATTACGGGTCACTTAGACAGCGAGGGCACTGGAGGAGATCTCAGGGCACCTTGTAGGAGATTATGTCCAACACCTAGTTTGGGTGCACAATAGATTGTACGCCGGTCGTGGTGCATTGTTAATACTTATCTCGTATTCAGTTAAATTAATTAGTCAATTTACTTTCTAATTTTGTTACTCAATAACAACCA